CAACACAAATGGCGTTACGTCATCGCCCCGCCTCTGCATGACCCCGCCTCCACCATACCCACCCCGCCCTCGCCCCTCTCTGGCTCCGCCCCCTCCTGCCCCCGCCTCTGCCCCTACCCGGCCTCGCCCCTTCCCACGGGCCAATGGCTATCGGCGTGTTTACCCGGCCCCGCCCCTGCCCCGTCCTGGACACGCCTCTGCCATTTCCAGCCCCGCCCCTGTCCATCCCGGTCACACCCCTTTTTAGACCACGCCCAAGCAGACCCCGCCCCGTCACCTTCACAACCCCGCCCTTTTCTGGCCGCGCCCCCGCCTGGCCCCGCCCCCTCCCGCCACCCAATCGCAGTTCGGCGCTTTCCTCTTCGCCCCGCCCCTCGAGCCGGTCACGTGCGCGGAAGATTCCGGGCGTGCGCCGTCAGTACCCGCCGCGCGGCGGGGGCGGGGCCGCCGGCACGAGCCGCCGCCGGTGAGGGAGCGGGGGCGACCCGGGGCGGGACCCGGGGGAAACGGGGCCGACGGTGCCGACGCGGCCCTCGAGGGGTCTGAGGGGCGTCCCGGGGAGAGACTGTGGGGGCGAGGGCTGGGGAGGGGCCCCGCAGGCGGGGAGAGGCCCGGGGAGGAGGGTCCCGTGTGGGGCGGGGGTGCAGCGGGCGGGGTGAGGAGGCCGCGGGCAGTGGAGGCTCTGTGGGGCGGGGGGGTTCCCCCGGGCAGGGCGGGGTGGACGAGCGGCGTTCCGGCTGTAGGGCAGGGCCGGGGGGCTCTGGAGGCCTCGCGGGGTGCTGGGCCCTGGGGTCGGTCCACCTGGGCAGGGTGAGGGCCCTGCACGGGCTCCTGTCCCGGCCGTGCCCTGGGCTGTCTGTCAGCACACCCCTGGTCTTGCTGCTTGCTGCCTGTCTGCCAAGCTCGGCTGCTGCGTTTTGAGCCCAGGTCTGTCATAAAAGATGATGTTTGGCCTCTTCTCTGAGGCTGGTCCAGTTATGACCATTCTGAGCTGTGCTGCCAGAGTGATTTCTGTCATCCAGCGCGTGTGTGCCAGCTTACAACTGTTTGTTTTTTTAGTGGTGCTCTTACCTTGTGAAGCTCGTGCTGATGATTTGTCCCAGTTTGTGTGGCTGAGTAGGAGCACGTGTAGATGTGTGAAGCCCTTAAACAATTCTACTATGGCTAATTAGTGGAAAACCTTTCAGGAGGCTTTGGTTCTCCCCTCCACCTTTTTTTATATCAGAGTTTACTTTCAATAAAATAAAGGGACAATGTCTGCCTAAACTATAGATCTAAAAGTGCTAAAAACTGTTTAATGTCCCACACCAGTTCTTCCATCCTTTTACCCATTTTCCTTGTATTTCATTAATGTTTTCATCAACCCTAATTATCACATGAACCAGCATAAACTGGGGGAACTGTGACATTGAAACTATTCCACTTTCTTCTCTTTCCCCAAATACTTCTGCTTTGGAAACCTTGGCACATGAAAAACATCTTGGCATGTCTTTAATAGGTGCAGTGTTTTAATTTGTCTGCTTATTTCTGTACTTGATTTATGAGGAGAGGCTGTAGGCTGGTTTTTGCTGTTTGATGTGCAGTAGGCACGTGCTTGAAAAGAGTAGTAGCTGCATGAGAAGCAGCAGTGTGAGCTCATCCTCAAGGCAGTCATTCTTCCTCTTGAGGTTTTAGTATATGAAAGAGCCCCTCTGGCTGTTTGGGGAAGGTGAAGTTTGGTCATCACGTGCTGTGAAAGGGCAGGGCCTTTTGGTTGCTTTTAAACTGGTTTAACTGGTATGAAAACTCAGTGTTGGACCAAGTGGTGCTGGTGAGTGGGGTCTGTCCGAAGGGCAAGGTCCTGCTGAAGTCTGTTAAAGTGCCAGAAGACTGATGTACAAGAGTTGACTGGTGAGTTCCTCCTCTTTCCAGCAAAAATAACAAAATTTTCTGGTGTTTCCTCAGGTTAAAGGGAAGAGAAGTTGAAAACACCCTCCTGGCTGTGCTCTGGGCCTCCCCTCCGTCTCCATCATGGCAGGGGGCATCACTGACACTGGAGAGCTTTACTCTCCATATGTAAGTTCTGCTGCTTGTGGGTTTGCTCACAAGTTGTTCTTTTTTTCAAAATACTCTCCCCTCAGCATTGTGTTTTCAGTTCCCACTTCCCCATGGGCGTAACCTCAGTGTTTCAGGAGACGATGGTGGTCAAAGGGTAGTTATAAAATGCTTAGTGTTTGTAGTTCATGGAGGTTTTTTTATATCAGAGATTACTGTAAATGAAATAAAGGGGTAATGTCTGCCTAAAGTATAGATTAAAAAGTGCTTAATTATCCCACACCAGCTCTTCCATCCTTTTACCCACTTTCCTTGTATTTTATTAGTGTTTTCCTCAATCCACAGTGTAATGTGAAGCAGCATAAACTGGAGGAACTGTGACATTGAAACTATGCCACTTTCTTCTCTTTTGTTACTTTATATAAGCTTTCCCCTGAATTTCTCAAATTTTACTTAATTGCAGCTGTTGCAGTAATTTGTTTTAAACCACTTCACTTAAAATTAGCAGTCAGGATATTTCTTTCCTGTAATGTGGTGCCTGGTGCAACTCCAGAGCCAATTACTGCTTTCCTATGTTACTGGAAATACTGGTTTTCATAGCCACAAGTCTTCATAAAATGTCAGCTTTTAAAAACAAAGCTTTGCAAACATGTTTTGTTGTGTTTTTTTTTTTTTTTCTGAAGTGAACTCACTAGATACAGAATCAGCCCTGAAATCTGTGTGCTGGATTTTAAATGCTTTAAAACTTTCATCCCCATGGTAAGGATTGAATTTAGGAGAACAGGATATTAGGCTGCAGAAATAGGACACAGCTGAGAAAATGGAGAACTGAGGCAGTAACTGGGACGTTTGGACCCTCAAGGATTAGTGTCACCTGCTCTTATGTTGTTAAGTTGGTGTTGCATGAATTTCCTGGAGTAATCTCAAAGGCTATGACTGTTCCCTTTCCCTGAAGATGTCTGACCAGACTGAATTCATGGGCATCATCCTTGTCTCTGTCTGCTTGACCAAAGTTAAGGAAAATCACCATTCTGGGAGGTTCAGCACATGATGAATTTGCTGTGCTTATGCCAGTGAAGTGCTTGCAGGGTCTCTGGGGAATAGTTCTCCTGATGGTAATTGCTCCACGCCCACAAAAGTGTGCTCAGAGACAGTTCTTTACTGGCTCTCCTCTGGAGAGATTCTGACCTATATTAAAATAAAACCCCCAAAGCACAACAACTTTGTGGCAATTTTTGATCTTGAATTCAGCTAAATGCATAGCCTGGGGGGTCCTGTCCAGGTGCAGAGTTCTCTTTTGTCCCTGGGCAGTAAAAAAGCTCATTGCCAGAGAAGATAAAATCCTTTCCCTTCAGGAAGTAAAAGCCCTTCTTCAGAAGGTGCTCAGCTGCTTACTGGTAAAATGTCAAGTAGGCTTTGAATTAGAATTCTTTTTGGATATTTCCTGCTTGACTAAGAATAAAGAAGAACAAGCACTTCTGAAAGATAACTCAGGTGCACAGTTACAACTGCTTGGGTTCAGGTTGGAAAACAAGGAGAGACCCCAGCCCACAGTGTAGAGCTTCTGGTAGAAGGCAGTGATTTGAAAACAAACAAATAAAAAGCTTGTGTGCTTTCTAACTTTAAGAGTTAGAATAGAAAGAAAAAATATTTTAAATATTTAGGAAAAGGGAGAGGAATATCAGTTTTTCCAGAAATGTGCTGACACTCACTTTGTTCCCTTTGGTTATCAGTCCCCTCCTCTAGTTATTTCTTGCTCCCACCCTGCCCGCTCAAGGATTGCCCTCTCTGTGTGAGTCAGTGCATGTGTGAGGTGTTTTGGGTGATTCCTGCCATGCTCTGATGCTGGATCATGTGGCTGGTTGCAGGTTGGCCTGGTTTACATGTTCAACCTCATCGTCGGGACAGGAGCCCTCACGATGCCAAAGGCCTTTGCGACAGCAGGGTGGCTCGTCAGCCTCATCCTCCTCATGTTCCTGGGATTTATGAGGTAGGACATGAGTGTGTGTCCCTGGGGGATTGGAGGGGGGTTCAGCTCGGTGGGGCTGTGAGGCCCATGTTGACTTTTGCTGCTTTCCTGTGCTCTGCTCATTGAGGATTGGTCTCTGCAGTGGTGTTGCCCTGATTTGGAGGGATGCACTTCCTGACTGCCTGCAGTATGGTGTTACATCCCATTTCCTGACTGATGGGCAAGACTTTTCCTCCAGTGCAGAGTCTTCTAGGACCTTTCTCCCAGTTTCCTTTTTTGTCCTTGCTGTGGATATGTTCCATGCTTGCCTCTGTCATGGATCAGTTCCCCAAACACCACTCGTGTCACAGGTGACGTGGGGTAATGCTTCTGTTCTGTGACTTACAGATGTGATGCAGGTGTGTGAGCTTTCTCTGGGCTTCTAGCAATGCTCTCACAGCTGCAAGAGTGTCAGGAAAACAAATTCATGTATAGCCAGGCCTATCTTATCCCCTCCAGACCTTCACTGCTTGAGACCTTGGAGCTGCTCTCCTGATTTTCCCACTGGCTCACCATGAGCTCCTCCCCAGGTGCCTCCATGCTGGAGCAGCAGATGGAGCTGAAGGCTGTGGATACAGTGCTGGTGTCTGAGGAGCTATTGATAGAATTGCCATCTTCTGATGGGCTGTGAATCTCTTCTTGCTTGGTTTTAAAATAAAAACAAGAATTTTTAAAATAAAACCAAAAAACCCTGGTGCCATTTGTAAGAATGGAATTTTGAAGTCCCAGGCTTGTCAATAACCAGCTCTCTCAGCCTGAACATGCCTTTTGAGCCAGAGCCTTTGGGATCTGTTAGGTGCTGCTAAACAGAGGAACTGTATGGTCATTACTGGCTGTAGTAATGCTTTTAGTGCCTCACCTCTGAGCTGGATGCTGTGGGGATACCAGTAACTGGGAGCTTTGTAAGCAATTCCTTTTAGCTACATTAGTATAAAAGCATAAATTCAATGTATGAAGCTCAGCACCAGCAGAAAATCCTTCAAGGTCAGCAGAAGAGCACAAAGCTCCAAACTTGTGTACCAGAACTGCACTGGATTAAACTGAAAAGGTGCAGCTCAAAGGAGTACGTGCCTTGGGAGCTGCATTGCTCTGTGGCTTTTGTTCTGGTGCTTGTGACTTCCTCGTGCCCGCTGGGCACCTTCAGTGCAGGAAAAGTCTGGGCGGAAATTGCCACACAGACCTCAGCACTTTCTTTTATTCTTGCAAAACTAATCTCTCATTTGAGCTCGATAAGCGAGTCTGGCTCCTAAAGCAGTGAGAAACCACTTTAAAGCCTTAAATAAGATTGATTTGAGGGGTTTTTTAAATTTATTAATATCAGAGGACAGTTTTTAGCTGAGATAATGATATTCCTTCCATCAGTGGCTCTCGCTGTCTCCCTGAACAGCCTTTCCCCTGGCCTCCAGCAAAGTGTATTTGCATGCATGTGTGATCTCTCCTTCTTCTATTGCTGCTTTGCTTCTGATGCCATTTGTAAGATTATTTAAGAGACTGTAGTACCTTTGCCACAGGCCCTAATAGATGAGTTTCAGAATAGTACTGTGCTCATCCTAGGCTGTAAAAAGAGGAAGGAAACTTGCTTTCTAGCAAAGGGCAAAGTCCTTTTGCTGTCTTCAACCCACAGAAACACCAGGAAGGTGCCTTCCAAATATCTAAAGTGTCTTATTGTGTCTGAAGGCGTGTTATACTTTATTGCATTTTGTGGTCTGCTTGAACACCTGAATCTCAAGAGCAGAAGGGAGCAATAAAACGAGATGAAACACTACCAAAACAGTGTGTGGGGAGCTGGCAAAAGGGTTGGTTTTGTTTGTTTTTTTTGCTCCTACAAACAGATGGGAATAATTCTCCATCTCTCTTCAGTGACAGTTCTTGACTGTTATTGATGATATCAATTGAATTCCTTTCTCTGTAGCTATATGACTACGACCTTTGTGGTGGAAGCCATGGCTGCTGCAAATGCCCAGCTGAGATGGAAGAGAATGGAAAAACGCAAGGTTTGTGTGGGGTTTAATTTTGTGTTTTGTTGTGTTCTTCTGTCCTGTAGGATTTGCCTGGGATTCCTCTGATTCTTTGCCGTGCCTCGTTACTAACTCTAAAGAAATAAATTTCTACTGTACTTAACTTTGCCATATAAAATACGGCTGTTAGTTCCCTGTGGGGTTGCTCATTAAAGACAGGATTTTCTGCTCCTGCTTTGAAAAATCTCTTGTGCTGTTCACATTTCTTACTGATCGTGCTCTCCTTGCCCAGAAGCGCTGCTCAGTGAATGTGGAGAGGTGGCAGCCAATATATTGGTGCTATTTGGAGTGTGCTGAGGACTATAAATCCTTGCTGATCTCAGGTCATTTAACTGGGACAGGCTGGAATGTCCTTGCTGTTACTTGGGCTGTATCCCAGGGAGTGGACAGTTCTGAATTATGCCCTTCCTGTAAAGCTTACTTGTGGCTTTTCTGGATCAGAGGGAGGCGTAATTGTTTGCACTGATTTAGACCCCTGCCTGTGTTTTAGTGGGATGGAGTTAGGAGCTAGACCTGCCTGCTCTGACTAGCTGAGACTTTATATGTTTAGATTTATTTTTTTTCTACCAGTTCTGAGCGCTGCAGATCTGCCGGAAGTTTCTGACTTCCTTGTGCCACGTACCACTACAGGAGTTGGGCACTGTTGCTGTGTGTGTGACCTCAGGCTGGGACAGCAGAGCCTGTCACTCACTTCAGCCTGCTCTGCTAGTGCCCTCTTCTGCCCTCCACAGCATCCCAAGGTCTCCCTGGTGTTACCTTTGCTTGCATGTCCTGCCCTCCCTGTTTGAGACCTTCTTTTGAGTGTCTGGAAGTGACCGTGACACTGGTGGTGCCGAAGCCTTTACTGTGGGTAACACATATCTCAGCAGTGGTCTGGTCTTTTCATCCAGGAGGATGATGAGGATGAGGATTCTTCCTCTGGAGTATCTGACAGTGATGTTCTCCTCCCAGATGGCTACGAGCGAGCAGAGACACGGCCTATCCTGTCAGTTCGTGAGTACTCAATTCATCCCTTTGCTGCTCCAAGACCTTTTCTCTGCAGACAGTGTCCCAGAAAATTCCACAAGTGTGGACTCCTCTGTCCATTTCACCCTTAGTTCCATCCCAAAGTCCTTAACATTTGCAAGATAAGACTCATTGAGAATTCAGTTTACCTTCTGCAGTCTGATAAAGATCTTTTCCTTCTAGGTCACTAAGATGAGAACATCTTATTTTCTAAACACTTTTAACCTAGCTTCGGTAAAGTAATTGGACCAGTGACTGCAGCTGTGGAGTTGTACAAACTGTCCTTCAAACTGCTGCTAGAGCTTTCCAAGTGTCCAAGTAGTTTGGCCTCTGGGTTTACTGGAGGGATTGGTTGAAACACTTCTTTTTTCCATTGTGCAGAGAGACGTGGCTCACCCAATATCTTTGAAATCACTGAGAGGGTGGAAATGGGCCAAATGGCTTCCATGTTCTTCAATAAAGGTAAGTGATGCATATTTTCAATTCCTCCTGGACATTGTGTGTATGGCTGTTGCTTAAGTTTGCAAGGTTTTTTTCAGTGTGGGTTTGCATCCTGAGTTTGTGATAATTCCACCCAAAAGTGTCATTCTTTCTCTCTGTGGACTGTGTTCATCCTCCTGTGTGATGTTTCTATGAAGTATTTATGGGCCCAGTGGGCCAGAACCTGCTGTGGTGGGCACAGAACTAGCAAAACACTGCAGGTTATGGGCCCAGTTTCTCGAGACAGGCAAGTGTGAGTCAGTGCCTTTTCTGACTGCCCTTCACCTGCCTTTGAACTGCATCTGTCCTCTGTGATCTCCACTGTTTAAAGCAGTAAAGCCCAGCTGCAGTGTTTGCCAGTTCCATCTTGGTTGTAGCATTTGCGAATTAGACGTTCAGGCTTCCCCGAGCCCCGTATCAGTCTGAAGGAGAAAGACTTCTGGTGGGAGCTTCTGGGAATTGCCTGTGCCTGGGGAATCATCAAGAGAGCTGCTGGGACATGAACTGCTGAAAGGGTCCCTGCTGAGCATATGACAGGCAGCTGGCTTGTGTTTCTGTTTTTAAATGCTGCTTGTATGCCAGGGAACAAACTTGTAACCGTACTGCAATACATCCCTGTCCATTGCTGTGTGCAACAGAAATGCAAACTACAGTGGTAGGGATTCTGAAACCTGTGAAACAGTACAGTGAAATGCTGTGCAGAGCCAGAACATCATCAGACACCGTGGCTGTGCAGTTTTGAACCTGTCAGGCCCCATTTCTTGTGGAAAATGATGTTTTCCCTTGTTCACTGGCCACCTTGCAAAGAGGTGACGGGCTGGTTTTTTCCACTACGTTACATCAGCATTATGCCAGCGTAAGGCTGTTGCCTCTGAAGGACAGCTGGGCTTAAGTAGTGAAGATTCTATGAACTATTATTTCTGATTTTAAAGTCTAATTGGAAAAAAAAAACTTTTTAATTTTCATGCATGCCTCTTCTGGGCTTTTGTAGATTTAAATCACACAGGACCATCAGAATAATCCACCTTGGATCAGGCTGCCACATTTCTAGTCAGGGAAGAGAAGTGTGTCAGAAACGTCTTGTTCCTGGTCTTGTCTGTAGCACTGAGATGCTCTGACCTCAGAGAAGTTTTTCCTTGTTTGCTTTGCTATCTATAAAACACTGTGAACACTTCCCTGTCTCTCAATATTCCTCTGAGGAGTAATATTTGGAAGTGCTTTGAGGGCAATCAGCAGGTAATGGGGTTTAGCCGTGTTGCTGAGGCCTCGGCTGTGGAGGGCTGGGGGGTCACAGGAGACAGAGAGTCCTCATAATCAAATTCCAGGAGACCCCTTCTTTGCCTGTGCTTCAAAGGGGAGCTGAAAAGGATGCCCCAAAACCAGGCAGGTGTTGGGCAAGTGCCTTCTGGACCTCTCTGGTGCTCAGACACTAGAGGGTGCTGGGAATACGTGTCCTCTCTCTGCCGGCACCAATGTAGCTTCCGAGCAAAGTGAAATAAACTGCTTAGTACTCTTAAATCTTAATCCCTCTTCTTAATGTTGCTTTAGCCACAGTTATCTGATTTCTGTGTTAGGGATCCTCCCCAGGGTCTATTGAGCCCGTCGCAAAGGGATGAATCTGTCTGCAGGAAGGCCACTGGAACAGCTGCAGACCACGGCCTGACTTAACTTGTGACTTCCAGATGGGAAGAGTCTGGGGCAGCTGTAACTCATTTGCTGCTTTTCTTTCCTCTGAGCTCAGCAATGAGGCTTCATCCCTGTTGCTGAGTCCTGGTTCAGAGACACCCTCTGGCCTGGGAGCGGCTGCAGAGACAGAGGAGTGAAGTACCTCCCTCTGCAGATCCGTGCTGAGGTGCTCCCTCGCGATGGCTGCGCAGAAGGGCCTTCAGTAAGGGCTCAGTGACCAGTGTCTGCTGCCTTGTGCTGAGAAACTGGGCCACACTGGGGAATTCTCAGCTCCAAGCACCAACCCATGTGGTTTCACAGCTCACAAATGTCTGGGTGGGTGTTTACTCACGATATACAAAGCACAGATCTAAACCCAGGGTGTCTCAGGGCTTTACAGCCTTCAGAGGGAAGGCTGGTGAAAGCTGTGCCATAGACCTCAAAGCCTCTGATTTCTAGTGAGTTCTCTGCTCCTTTCCCTTGACTGATTTTTATTTTCAGCAATCTGACAGGAGTTGAATCTGCAGTCCTAGGAGGTAAGCTGGGGATAAATCTCAATTTCAGACTGTCTGTTTTCTTAAAGGGAGCTGACTTAGGTTTAGGCTGTGAAGAGCCTGTGTGCTCTTCTGAGAGAGCTGGCTCTGAAGAACTGCTCTGTTTCTTGTTTTAATTTTTTTATTTTTTAATATGCAGTGTTGGGTGCTTTCTTCTGGGACCAAGTAGTCATTTATTGCAGTAATAGATTGCAGGCACATCTATCATACTGTTTCCTCACAGGAAGTCATTGATTTTCTTTTTTCTCCCTGTTTTGTGCCCAGTAATGAAAGTATTGATTGGGGAGGGTCAGCAGCAGTTTATAAAAGAACTGATGGTAAAGTCTTCCTGTCTTTGAGAAGATGAGTTTGGGAGAGGACTATCACCTGGACTTCCTACAGACAGGGAAGTCTGCACTGAAACAGGGATACAGTGTGTGCTCTTGGTACTGGGTGGTGCTGCTGTGGTTGTGTCAGCCTTATTTTGTGTGGGGAGGGAAGCTGAGGCCTGAGACCAGTGGAGATCCCAAAACAGAATCTGTCTGAGTCTGCAGTACTAAGCTTAGTGTGTCTGCAGTTTCTGTCCTATTTCAAATATCTTGTTATAACCTTCAACCATTTTTAATGGGAAATTGGGGAAGACTGGTAGGTAGTTTGTTGCTGTCTCCAGAACAGTGCAGAGACTCCCTAACTGTGAAGCCATCTTCAATCTTTCACAGAGCAAGAAAACAAGGGGGAAACTATATGGAATGATCTGACAATTTCTGTAATATCTCCATTTGTCTCTTTAGACAAACCAGGAACAAGTCTAGAGCACTGACTTAGTGCTGCTGTACAGAAACAGGAAAGTTTTCTTGCTGCTTTCCTGATACAGCCCCTTTTTAGGAATGTTTTATGCTACGTAGGCTTAGCATATTGAATAATTCATTTAAATGAAGGAAGATGTTTCCTGACATCCTGAGGTCCAGAGGCAGTATGATGGCAAAACATGAGAAAACTTTGGGGCATCTAAGCTGTAGAAATATGAGTCCACGTTCCTGCAGCAGTGTTGTCCTTGTTGGTAGTTGTCACAGCTGTGAGTGTGAGGTGAGGCTTGCACAGGTGAATTGATTTGCTCAAGCTGCATTAGGATTAAGCATCAGCTGGCATCGTGCAACTTGAAAGTATGGGCAGGTTCCTTGAGCTGTTCTCCTTCATCGTCAACTTCCTAAATGAAACAAATGTGAGGCTTTTTTTCTGTAACTCACCTGTCTCTGAACTAAAATGTCTTCCAATTTGTTTTTCCTTGGTGAGTTTTATACAGACTTGCTTGGAAGGAGAGAATCCCATGGTCTCATCAAGCGTTTCTTTATCCCTGCAGATTTTAGCCTTCCACAGCAGTATCTTGTTGTGCCCCAGTAAGGCTGTTCTGTGCACCCAATTAATTTGTGAAAGATTTTTTTAATCTGCTAGGTGAAGGCAGAGCAAGCTTTTTCTTTTTTTTTTTTTTTTTCAAAAAGAAAAAAAAAAACAAAAAAATCAGTAGGGGCATGAACAGCATATATGGTGGTATAAGGGTAAGAGGGCTGAGATACAGAGTTTTAAAGCTTTGCAGAATTGTACCTTGGCTCAAGTTGCCGCTGGTAGGGAATCTTCCAAAGCAGCTCCATTTCAGCCCTGTGGAGTCTGAGCTCTGCAGGGCCAAGTCCCTAATGTGAAGGTCTTGCAGATTTGCAAGCAGAGGGTTTGGAATCAGCAGAGACTAAAAGCATCTTCTCTCTGCATTTCACTGTTTGTCAGATTGTGCTCACACCGAGTCTGAGAGCATCAGCTGGATGTTTGCCTGTGGCTGTTCCAAGCTGACAGCTTCGTCTGGCAGGTGACTTATGTGAGACCTGTTGGTCTTGACTGCAGGATGGGCTTGAACTAGAGGGTTTAGTGTCAGTGCCAGGTATTGAAGGAAGCAGAGTGGAGCTCTGAGGCCCCTCATGCCCCATCAGATCCTGTGCCATGGTAAGTTCCCTGAGCTTGGGTGGAGTTTGCTGCAGAAGGAAGGAAATTATGGAGGCAAATGGTGATTTTTAAGACCTTAAAAATTTTGTATATTTGAATTGCAGAGTACAAGAGTTTCTGTGTACTCTGCAGTATCTGGATAATATTTCCTTTTTCTGCAGTGGGTGTCAACCTCTTCTATTTCTGCATAATTATCTACCTCTATGGAGATCTGGCAATCTACGCAGCAGCAGTACCAGTCTCTCTCATGCAGGTGACCTGGTAAGTGTGCTTATTGCTGAGGGGTTGGATGCTAACAGGGAAGAGGGCAGGCTTTGGATTTGATGGGGTTATAAACCTCATTAGGATCAGCTCTACTTTCTGAAGAGTGAAGTGGAGAAATGACTCAAGTACAGCTCATCTCTTGAGGGTGGGAAGGTGAAGTTGCTCTGTATTCCCCACCCGAGTGCCTGCAAAGTAGCCGACCTGATTCCAGAGCCCTCAGGTGGGAAGCACTTCCAGCTTCAGCACTTGTAGACATGGAACTTGTTGCTCAAAGGTTTGATTGCAATACTCTGCAATATTTTAGCTTCTCTGTCTCTTTGGGTGAGGGCTGAGAGAAGAGATACTTATTAAGTCAGAGACCAGAGAGTGATGATATTATGTGGACTTCACACTGGACTGAGAGTGATGCCTTTCTCAAAGAAACAGATAATGAAAAAGAGTGGTTTGATCAAATCTGGGATGGGCTGGATTTGGACTTGTTTCTTGGAAATGGGAAACCTCAGTGATCTCCATATGACCTAAACTCGCCAGCTTCATGACTAAATGACCAATCTTGCAAATAACTGCAAGTAATTAGAGAATTTGCTTTTAAATGCCCAGTACTCAGTGACTTGCTCTGTTACACAGTCCAGAAAGCAGAATGAGGGACAGTGTTCAGGAAGGGAGGGGAGGAATGGCCTCTGCTCATTCTTCCTTCTTGAATGCAGGAGAGGGGAAGACATCTGCTAGGAGTTAATTACTGTCTTTTGTTCTCCCTCCTTTCCCAGCAGTGTCACTGGCAACCATTCTTGTAGTGTTGGAGATGGCACAAAGTACAACGACACAGACAAGTGCTGGGGGCCAATTCGGCGGATTGATGCTTACAGGCTGTACCTGGTGAGTTTCTGGAACTGGGATGACCACTGTTGCCACTTAAACTTTGCTTCTAGTTATAAAGATTTTTTTTTTCCTGTAGAGATAATGTGGTTCAAGTGAACAACACAGTGTGAAGCTTTTGGTTCAGTCTGGCCCTTTTGGCCATTTACCTCCTTCCTGTTCTTGGTGACATGGCTGTGTGTGAACTTGCTGACCATCAGAATGATCCTTATGGTTTTGAGTTTGAGTTCTGTCTGTCTTGTTTTGTAGTTTTGTATTGCTTAAGCAGGTGAGATGTTCTTGCCAAAGGCTGGGCTTTTCTTCAGTGGGTTTTTCAGTGGCTGGCTAAGTAATATTCACTTGGGGGTAATTGTTGTCAAGATACTGAAGTATATTAAGCTCACTCGACTGCTTTAGAATATAAAATATCCTGAGTTGGAAGGGACCCACAAGGATCATTGAGTCCATTCTTCATGTGAATAAAATTGTTAATGCTGCAGGAGAATCTGCTGTTTAAAAGATGATGGAAACAGCCAGCTTAGACAACATCCAGTGCTATATGCTGCTTTAGTAATAGCTTTGTCTAGTTCAGGATTGTCTATTGTCTCTATTACTGTGCTGGAGTTCTGCTGTGAAACCAGGATTTTTCCCAAAGGATGATGAAATGGCTTTTCTAGATATTGGGGAGTGTTGAGTGCTCCTACCTGGAGACATGTCAGTGGGGCAAAAGGAAAAGAGGATGGGATGCCAGTACTGGATAGTGTGGCTTCTGTTAAGGGTCTTGGTGAGAATTTCAGGAACAAGGAGTGCAAGGAATGAGGGTGGTTGTGTGTGCACAGAGAAATCCAGAGGTAAAGACTATTTGAGGCAATTTTGCAGTAAGTACATTTTGGATGTGCAGTGGATCACATCCCTGAGTACACTTGTTCCAGCGTTATTGCAAAAGTAAGAGCTGGGCCTTGGATATATAAGTGAATGTCAAAGTCTACTTAATAATTTAAGAGAAATATTATTGCTTTATTAAATTGTGTCTTGGTCTGTTTCTTTAAAACTTCCAGAAGATTGAAGATTTCCTTCCTGAATTTCAATAACTCTCCCTGACCCAGCAGAAGGAGCTAGTCAGAAAAGGCAGACATGCATTAATTACTGCCTGCATCTCTCGGATATTATGTCTATAATTCATGAAGATAATTGTTGTTAGGACTTGCAAAATTAAAAAAATTAAGACTGTGTAAGCATTAGACTTGCAGTCTGTGTACATAACTCTCAGAGGAGCTTTTCCCTCTGCTTGTCTTGTGGATTTGGAGAATAAATATCTGCAAAGTCTTTGCTAGTGTTAATCCTTTCCTGCTCAGTGACTGGGATGAGGTTTCAGTGCTTTCCTCTGCTCCCCCTTAGAAGGACAGAGGGGTTGTTTGTGGGAGAACAGACCAGTCTGTAGTGGGTTACTGCTGGGGGGCAATTCTCACCAGAACTATTTTCAGGGAACTGCTGGGTGTCAGCATTACCTTCAAGTGACTTTCTCTTAAGGTCTCTAATGCTTCTTACTGGGTGACTATGGGAGTAAACTGGGACTTGTTCTACCTCCAGTTCTGCTAGTCCCACTCCCTGCTTGACCTGTGTGCTTTCATGCTCCAGAAAACAGATGATGGTGACTTCTCTAGGGAGAAGTAAGAGATGTAATCATTTATAAAGCATTCAGACCACAGTACTGACCACGTCCTTGAGTTTGGGCTGCCTCTCAAATGGCTGTGATGGGTCATATTTTTCCCCCTTTATCCTGGTTAATATTTTCCCCACTGTCCTGTTTGCAATGTGGACAACTAGTGACCAGTTGAGCTCTTGAACTTTTTAAGAGAAACCTGGGCATGGGAGGGCAGGGGGAGGAAGTCACTTGACTTCAAGCAAAAAATTCAGTAGTAAACCATTGTCATTATCTCTACACATTTAGTCCAAGCTTGTTGTGTATAGAAGTAGAGTTTTGACCATGCAAGAAAAGCTGAAACCTGCTTGTCTGAAGAGGAAAAGGCAACATGACAGGAGGGGTGAAATGCATCAAGAGCACAGCTATTCTCTTGGTCCCAGAGGATCATACCCACAGAGAACTTGCTCTGTTGTCTTGACTTTCTTTTTTGAATTCTTGCTTGATGGAATAATTTGGGTTCCACGTTTCAGTGGACAAACAAGGTCTCTTTTTGCAGACTAAGTTCCCCTGTGGCAAGGGGACAGATGGACACTGTGATCCCAAAAGAAAACAGCTGAGTTTTTGGATCAGCCCTTTTGTCCTAGATGTCTGCCTCTAGTTTTCTTACCTCGTCCTAATACTGTATTTAGGTTAAAATGACTTTTAGGAGAAAGATGGGTGGATGTAACTGGAACCTCTTGCCCGTTCCAGTGAAGCAGTTCTCTGAATATGCAGTGTTATATTTCATACTCCGTGCATGACCCCACAGAAAACCTATTTTGGACTACCAGGAGAAATAATCTATTTGAGGTTTTCTGGGCAAATGATGCCAATGGGAGCTGTCTTGTGCCAAGTCCCACCAGTCTGCCAAAGACCTGTGCTGCCTTCCTCCTGTCGACTCTTTCTCTCCCAACACTGTGTCTTCTTTTCAACAAAAATAATTTCAAACATTTACTCTTCAAGCTGGGGATGGAGAGAGGAATAATGACTGACGTAAAAATCCTTTTTCACGCCTTACTGTCCAAAAAGGCCTCTGGAAGCTGTCTCTGCTCTGATTACTGTGAATGGAAGCTGAAAACTATGTACATAATGAGAATATTTAGACAGATTAAATTCTTCTCTTGAGACTTCCTTGTCTGTGCAGCATCTTTATTGCTGCTCCAAGATTTCACACCTAAGTGTGACTGCAGAGTCTTCAGAGACCACTAGGCCCCTATTAACCTTTGTCTGAACAAATGGTTGTCTCGCTTCTTGTTTATAAATTGCTTTGGAAAATAAAGGTTTGCAAAACAAATAAGTGAAGGCAAGTGCAGGAAATATGTAAATAGACTTCTTCTCCTGTCCCATCACTTGCTGCTAGTATTTGCCTCCTTTTTGGGACGTTTACAGGGTGAGCCTTCCCATGCTGTTCCACGCCTATGAGGGCAAGACCCTGCAGGGCAAATGGGCTGGAAGGAAGGCGTGTGTTGGGCAGCCCAGCGACCTTGTTGAAGGCAAGCACTGATCACAGTTAGAGCAGATCGATGGCTTTCTATCTTTGCTTCAGATCCATCACCACCCTGTCATGTCCTCGACAGCTGGAGTGACTCCCAAGTCCCTTGGCTGTCTCTGGCAATGCTGAGGATGGGGTTGTGTTCTTTCCCTGCTGAATTCACACTTCAGTGCAGTCACTTTATCATGCTCTCTGTAAGGTCCACGGGGCCTCTGCTGTGGAGGCTGTGGGGCAGGGGCAGTGGATTTCAGTTGCAGATCTTTCGTCATAATACTTTCCTGTCTGTCTGTTCCAGTGATGTAGAAATGTGACATGATAGCCTCTGTTTCTAGAAAGCAGATACTGAAATAAATAAGAGATTAAATCCTGGGGATCAGCAGCCATTCAGAGTGTCTGATCCAAACTGCTTTCATGACCCGGCAAATGACGCTTCTCTTCTGCACCAGGGCAGCTGTTGAAGTTAAAACCTCTCTCCTCTTCAGCCCTCCTCTTCTGGCAATCTGGGACATGGTGCCTTCCCATGATGGAAAGGAAATGGCTTAAATTCTCAAGAGGAGCCGTACGCCTTTGAGAAGAGGCACTGGCACAGGTACTCCTGGTAGCCTGGCTCGGTAGCGCGTCAAAGCTCCCAGGTGCATCTGTTCTGTCTGAGTCTCTGTTGGTTTTTTTAGCTGATTGGGAAAGGGACGCGGCATCCGCTTGTGCCGGTTCACAGATGCTGCAGTATCGCAGGCAGCCCAGCGGGTGCAGGCCGGGCGAGGATGGGAGTGCAGATGGTTTAATGGAGATTATCCCAGTTGGAAACGTGCTTGTGCAGTGAATAAAATGAGCGGGCTCGCAGGCGCTTACCATCCCTCTTCAGGAGGGGACAATGTCACCCCGGCCCGACGCTCTGATCAGTGACCAGAGCGGGGCTGGGCTGCAGCTGCGGGAGGCTGTGCAGGGGGGTGAGGAGGAGGTAGTCTGAGGACACACGTACAATTGCTCAGTGCCAGCAGAACTTAATCGGCAAATGTGAGGGCTGTGCTGATAAGTGTTGATGTAGATCCCGTCCGCCGCGGCTGCTGCGGTGCTGCCTTCCCGGCCCGCTCCGGCTCTGGGCTGGAGCGCCGTGCTTTGTGCCGCCGGTGTACGTGCTCTGCTTCCCTCCTCAGCGTTTCTCCTTCCCAGCTGTGCCTTCACCCTGCTCTGGGTAAAGGTAGCTCTGATTTTCGTTGTCAAAACGGATCTTTCCAGATGTGTTTACCTGCACTAGGGCAGTTTTATCGGCTTGTTCAGCGCGCAGTGCTTTTGTGGCCTGTCTGTGGTTGCCTTCTGGCCTCTGTAGCTTTATTTTTTTTTTTTGGTGGGGTTTTTTGCTTTACATTTTGCTTCCTAGCAGTGCTATGAGAGGAGCCCTCATGGCAGTACTTGAACATCCATGCTTGATCTAAGCTGTCTCTTGCCAACTGGGTGCTGGAGCAACAGAGCTGGAGCAGTGCTGCGAGCAGAGTGCTGCTTCCAAGGGCACCTGGGTTTGCTCTGCCGTTCCCTTTGCAGCAAGTGCTTTTCCTCTGCCCTGCCTTCCTCAGCTGTGCCCTGCAGCAGCATCCGGTAATAAATGGGTCACAGCTGCTATCTCCTGGATATTTATTCTTACAGGTCTCAGTGTCTAGAGACCTTGAGAACCAGTGGTGGGGAAGGAACCTGCCTCACTGGCTGGAGCTGGAGCAGGGAGGGCTGAGTTCGCAGCACTTCAATGAAAAAGGCTTGGGGTGTTTGTCCTGGGCTCCCAGAGCGAGCCAGTAAAAAGGAAGAAAAGCTGATGGAAGTTTATCCTGATGGTGTGAAGCCATCACCTTGTTT